ATATATATATTCTAAAATTTAACTCAATTTATAAAAAAATTCTATGAAATATTACTCAAATTTTAATCTAAATTCAAATATGTGGGTGCAATACACATATTCAAAAGGTTCAAACAAAGCGTTTGAATCAATAGTTCTCAACATTTTGGATTCATTTTTCATTAGCTTTAATTGAGCTATCAAGCCATCTTGTGGTCCCTTGGAAGTTGCTGAGGGCCCCGGGCCCCTGGCTGAGAGTCAAGCATAACTAGAAAAATGTCTACTCAGTGGAATTCCCATGACACTTTAAGACTTACTTAACTTCCATGACTTTCCCTGACCTGGAAAGTCTACTCAGTGGAATTTCCAATTCACTTTAAGATTTAAGACTTTTCCATGACTTTCCCTGACCTGGAAATCACAATCCTAAAATTCCCAGATATTTCCAGGTTTTTCCAGGAACCTGGGAACCCAGTTACTTTCAACCAAACTAGACTGCCTGTCAGCAGACCAACACACATATAACAAGTCATTTTGTTTTATTACCTGCGGAGGGTTTAATTAATGGCTTCATTAGTGTATGAAGTGCTTGATAAGGAAGGCAGCGACAGCAGAGGGCTGGGGCTGCTTCGCTACGCCGAAGTTCCTGCTCGCTTCGAGGGGAATTTCTTCAGCTGAGTGGGTGATTTGCTGTCAGGCAGGGAAATAACTGTCGCCTGCTGCTCACTGTTAGCCTGTTAGCACTGTTTCTCCAGCCTCGCGTTGCGGTCACCGCGCGTCTTACCTTGTTGCTCTGGTAGTCTTCAAACGCTCGCAGTGCGCTGTCAGTCAGCTTGACGTGATAGACGGAGATGTTGCTGCCATTGCTCACTCTTCCACAGGACAGTCCGTAGCACTGCTCCTCCTTCAACGCCGCCATCTTGCTCGCATTTCCCACCACGCTCACGCGCCTCTGCCGTGAACGCAACAAGCAGCTCGAGCGAGCGAGGGATAGGATTATTCATGAGGCGTGAATTACGTACAGGCGGGAAGGGGCGGGGCTTCGGGGTAATCATGAGATGACCAATGATGGGAAGTCCGAGTCTTTTCCGCGAATCGGTTCTTTTGAGCAGTTCGTTTCAAAGATCCGGTTCGGAAACGATTCAGCTGTTCTTTTACATCATCATCGCTCTAAAAAGGTATATTGCTGTTTATAACTAATAGAGATTTAGTGATAAGGGTGTTTATATTGTCTCGGTTCTGCAGTCCTGACAAAATATGTGACCCTGGACCACAAAACCAGTCATAAGGGTATGAAATTTATACATTAACACAATTAGCTGAATAAATAAGCTTTCCATTGATGTATGGTTTGTTAGGATAGGACAATATTTGGCAGAGATACAACTATTTATAAGCTGCATTTATTTCTGACTGGTATAATTATAATAATTTATTTTTAATATTTTAAATATTCCAATTCTAATATATTTCAATAAATATAAATATCTGAATTTTATATATTGTATACTATGTATAGAATTTCAGTAACCTATATATATATATAATTTCATAGGTGTGTTTCAATAACCTATAGTTTAAAAAAAAAAAGTTGTTTTTTTTTTACAAGGAAATCTGGCAAACCTTGTTTTTTGTTTAGATTTATTTATTTGATTACAATATGTGTAAAGAATGTAAATAAACAAAATTATAGCTATTTAAATCTAATAATAATAATAATATGAAAATAATAAGAAGAACAAGTTAAAAAATTATTTATAAATAATAAAAAAATAATTTATAAGGAGATTTATTTAAATATTTAATCTAGTACTTTGGTACTAGCTGCTTGATTTAGATCATATATGTGACCCTGGACCACAAAACCAGTCATAAGGGTATGAAATTTATACATTAACACAATGAGCTGAATAAATAAGCTTTCCATTGATGTATGGTTTGTTAGGATAGGACAATATTTGGCAGAGATACAACTATTTGAGGATCTGGAATCTGATAATAAATAAATAAATAAATAAAATAAAAACAATTAGAAAATCACCTTTAAAGTTGTCCAAATGAAGTTCTTAGCAATGCATATTACTAATCAAAAATTACGTTTTGATATATTTACAGTAGGAAATTTACAAAATATCTTAATGGAACATACTTAATAGCCTAATGATTTTTGGCATAAAAGAAAAATCGATAATTTTGACCCATACAACGAATTTTTGGCTATTGCTACAAATATACCACAGCGACTTAAGTATGACTGGTTTTGTGCTCCAGGGTCACATATTATTTATTTCCACCTTATTGAGATCCTAAATAAAATTTGCATAACTCTACACAAAACTTAAGTTAATTTACATCTCTTAGTTTAAAAGTGTACAGGTATGGACGTTTAGTAACAAATCGTTAACTTTTTTGGTAACATTTCAGCTAATTAGGCGATTAAAAAGTAACATAACTTCTGCTAATTTAGCTGTTATATATTATTGATCTGTTTTTGTTATTAGGGAAAGTTTATATTCATCAAACTAAATGGAGTAACTTAAATCCCAATTTTGCTCATTTTCAAACAGCCTTTAAAGCTTATTTAGAATCTATAAAGTCTTTAAAAAATCGTAAAGCCCAAAGAACTGTCTCTGCTAAATATATTTAACAAATGCTTGTAATGCCCTTTTATTTTGTTTATTTTTTAATTATAATTTTATTTTATTAAAATAGTTTAATTTGTATTTACAAAATGTGTAAATATGAGAAATATGTCAAACACTTGCTGTTGAATTTTGTAACTTTGAAAGTTCAATAATAATAATAAAAAAAGTTCTTTCAGTCAGAATTGTTGACTCGAGATCCGCTCAATTCAAAAGATGAACGAATCATCATGAACCGTTTCACTGAAAAGATCCGACTCGATTCTCTCGGATTGGACATCGCTGGAAATGACCGATGAATGGCGTCATCACAACGCGGTTTGATACGGTTATTTATTTTTTCGAATACATTTCAACAATAAGGAAAACGTATATGATTTGAAATTTGTGATTTGACCATGTTTGGTTGTGTTTTTGTACACTGGAAAACTCTTGGCTGGGGGTGGGGGAAGGTTTTGGATTGAACGCTTCTCACTCACAGAATTGCGTCAGAAAAACGTCAATGTCTGGAAAAAAACCCCCCATGAATAGGGAATGCCCCACCAGACTCCAACGAGAGGTACGATGTTTAGTCACGTTTATGCACTTAAAATACATTCTCTAGGCCTATTTCATTACAACGCACACTTTACATGGAATGTTCATTTAGAACGTTCACATCGAACCCGTACGTCATAAACGAGCTGGCAAGTGCAAGAAAGCATTGCTCTATTAACACTATTCACTTTTATTACCTTGCAACCCCATATAGTTCCTTCAGGAAATGCAAATCTAGAATTCATACAGTAGCTCTGACATCTAAACATTTTCAAGAAATCACTTTATTTTCAACCATATGAACAGAAAGTGCAAAAGTTTATTATAGGATATACAAAATAACTTTAAAGGGAATGTCGGATGTTGCCAATACAACAAAAAACCAACTTAAGGATTAAAAAAAACTCACATGTCTGTTCATCCTAAATAAATAATACTAAATAAATGAAAATAATTCTTGTAGGAGCTGAAAAATAAACTGAAAAGGTCTGTATGACCTTCCTTGCAGTGTTTGGCCATGAAAATGAGAAACTCTGGGAACAGCAGCTGATTCCAGTGATATTTTGGAGCCTATAAAAGGAGAAGAAAGCGCGAAAACCAGTAACGTACCACATCAGTGTAAGGACTTTTGAAATAGTGTTGTCTTTCTTTAGCATCAGATGCCTGTAGATACTGCAAAAGAAAAAGCATACAATCATATTCTTGAATGTTCAAGACTGTTCACAAGCAAGTTTCAGTTCACCAAAAGAAGATCATGGAACTTCACACACGTAATTGAAGAGTTCTGCAGCACGACTGTGTCCAGCAACCTGAAGAGCATCATTCTGTACATCGATACATTTCTTAATTATAACTAGGAACTTTTCTGTACATAAATAGGAATTATATAATATTTCTCACATCTATTTCTCCCCAGCTCATCTTTCATGCATTGAAAGTAAAAAGTGAACGCCATTTAAAACCTCTACTGTGCAATGGACGGCAACAGAACTACAACCATTCTACTTTCAATTACAATTTTTTTTTTATGAAGGTCAGTAAGGTGTTTGGGGGCCTGGTGTGCTCAAGGTCTTCAGCACCATGTCATCCATCCCGTCACAGTGAATTCTGGTTAATTTCTAGCTGCGATGACGACTGATAGAGCTACACCACCAATCGCAACGGCTGTAGCCCCAAAAAGCCACTTCCAGCTGAGACTCTGTAAAAAGAAAAATACTAGTTTAAAATAAATACTTCACCCATAAAGAAAATTATCATTATTTATTCACCCTCATGTTGTTTTAAACCCATATGTGGCTTTCTATGGTATTTTTCAGAAATCTATTTATAGTTTTGTGGAATGAACAAATCAAATTTACTTTAATTATTTTTTGGCATTTTTGTGTTTGATATGATTTATACAGATCACATCTGACAGGAAGTGGGGGGGTCCTAGAGTTAAGGCCCGTTCACACCAAGCACGATAACTGTAAAGATAACGATTAAGATATAGTTCTAAAAATCGTTCTCAATATTAAAGAATAGCAGAGTCCACACCACAACGCCGTTGTTTACACTACAACCGGAGCACATGCCGCTGAGGCGAGGGGCGGGACGTTTAGAGGTTTAGCCAATCACAACACACTGGGCTAGCTAACCAATCAGAGCCCATTGCCTATTTCTGAGGGAGGGGCTTCATAAAAGAAGGAAATGATCATCACGTTTCTCAGAGAAGAACGGTGTGGAATAAAGGTAAATTATGTGAAAAATAATGCGTTTTTTAAAAAACTAAGCATTAACACATGTTAGACTGCACCCCATAAACACAATCAAGCCTAGAAAAAAAACACTGAACCACTCCTTTAAAGAATAGCAGAGTCCACACTACAACTATAACGATAAAGGCACAGAGAAACGGTATCGTTGGAATCACCTTCCAGAACGATTTTTTCCAGATGATGAACGATACAAACATTGACAGCCAATCAGAATCTATCCTGCTATAACGAGCTCGAGAATTTAAAGCGGCAGACGAGTATGCACTTAGAATAAACAGATGATATCATCTGCTGGTGTGGACGCAAATATTGTTATCTTTATAGTTATCGTTCTTGGTGTGAACGGGGCTTTAGGATTCAAACTCGGGATGCCCGTAGCACAACAGCGCTGTATGTCAGCGGGCGCACTGCCCACAAGGCTATCTGCGCAGACAAAATTTAACTTATTATTGACTAATAATTTTCTGCGCCAGTGAGGTTTGAGTTGAACTTGAGAATTAGATAGTCCGAATCGTCAATTAATCATTCGGTCAGATTTGTGAACCAGATTAACCAGAAAAGAAATGGCTCAAAAAATGATTTGTATGAAGTCCCTTGGGGTACATAGTGATGAAAAATGAGATGAGAGGACAATTTACATTTCAATTCTTTCACGTTCTTTAAAAAAAAGCTGCTATTTAGCTCTTACAGTACTTTGAATCAGTGGATCCGAGTCAGAATTGTTCACTTTATTTCAATTAATGAACAATTCACTGTAGACTGTTTGAGTAGATCAGACTCAAAAGAACAATTCTTTCATGAATCGGACATTGCTAGAAATGATGGTGATGGGAAGAAATGAGATGGAAGGAAAATGTATTATTATATATATATATATATATATATAAATTTTTCATGCCTCATGAATAATTTCAAAGCTTTGTGTTTTCTTCCCTAGCTTAACTGCTGATTGAAATAATATTTGTGTGGTCTACGGAAAAACTGTATTTCAAAGCTTTTGTGAGCGAATGCAAGGTTTCTTCTGGCAAATGCAATATATTTGTGAAAAAATGTGAAGTTTCTCGGGGAATGCAATACTTTTTTAAGAGGACACCAAGTTTTTCAGGGAAACGCAATACTTTTACGAGAGAAAGTAAACGTTTCGCAAGAAAACGCGAAGTTTCTTGGTGCAATGTAAAAAATTTAGCAAAAGAATGCAGAAGTTTTGTGAGAAATGCAAGCTATTTTTTTGCAAGCTAATGCAAAAATCTGACTGATCCAGTTCTCAAGTTCAGTTCAAACTCAATGACTCATTCACACGTGAAGATTCAAAAAAATTGCCACATAGGAGTTTGGAACAATATGAAGGTGATTAAACATTTTTTTTATTCCTTAATCATTTTTATTTTTGAGTCAACTATCCCTTTAACAGGCTAAGGCATGAATGTGCACTTTGTCATCTGTAAAACCCACTTCCTGTTGAGAGTAAACAGACATGCAACCTCATAAATAAGCAGTGCATTGTGTTAAATAGTTGAAATAGGGCCGTTTTAAGCTCTCACCCAAGAGGACTTGGCACGGTGTTTCTGCACACTGGCATTCGTCGGGTTACCCAGCATCTTTTTATACATGGCCTGTTCGGCTCCTTTCTGCTCTGAGTGTTTCTTCACAAGCTTCGACAGCTCAGCATGGATGGTCTGTCCGAGGAAAGGGCAGAGAGAGTGAAAAGTGTGTGTGTGTGTCAGGCTGATGAAACTGTTGCTCACTGCAGCACACCAACACATTTGGGCGGCACGAAAATGATTAAACTTGACAGTGCTGACAGTGATTGAGTGAAAGCCTAACAAAAGTCAAGATGTAAACCAATTTAAGATTAAAAACGCATTCACTTGTTTTTCAATATCAGCTGCAATGCCACAGAACACAAAAGCAGAAGTGAAAGCATCTTGTACTAATGAAACGTGTCTTTATATGGATCACACACACACACACATGATCATTTTTCTCTTATATGACCTCAAAGTCAAGAACCTGGAGTTTTATTCTCTCTATACCTGAGTGAAGATAGACTAGATCTGCTCTAGTTTTAGCCTGTGAAGATGATATATAAGAACGCAAAAAGTTAGATTAGATTAGTTAGATTTAGTTCACACTTGTTTCTGCCAATGCCGAGGAGTTCGATTCATTTAGGGAATCAGTTTTCTCAGATGGTTTGTTTCCATCAGAATTAAATAAAAATAAGCAGTTTATCATTTAATTTTGAATCAACACTACACATTTCAAGTGATCTTCTTGCAGAATTATTCATGATTCAACAGCTGAGTGTTTATTTTTCAAACTAATCTAAATTGTTCAAATGGATTTCAACAAATCAAAAGATAGTTCATCTATTCATTTGGAGTCATCACACATATTTCAAGCAACCTTGTAGAAGGATTTGTTTCCAAACTGATCTGTTCAACAGTTGAGTGCGAATCGGAGTCATTCAAGTTTACTAGAGTGAATTGGTTCATTCATTCAGTTTGATCAGTTGGCTGGTTTAAAAAAGCAGTTTACTTATTCATTTTGTGTCATAACTACATATTTCATGAGATTTTACAAAATGACTCATTTATGAATTGATTTGTTCAAGAGTTCAATGTGAATTGTTCAAGTGAATCTGAACTGTTCATATTTTAACAAATCAGTTCACTCAAATTGTTTCAATGGACTGATTCAAGAATTAGTTCATTGATTAATGATTATTTTATGAACTGATCTGTTCAACAATTAGATTTGAATCATTCAAGTGAATCTGAATCATTCAGATTTACTTGAATGAATTGGTTCATTCATTCCGTATGCTTCAATAGGCTGGCCAACAAAATCAGTTCACTTATTAATTTGCGTCAGTACATAATTCATGTGATTGAAAAGGACTCATTTATGAATTGATTTGTTCAACAGTTGAGTGAATCATTTAAGTGAATCTGAATTGTTCATATTTTAGCAAATCAGTTTACTGAATTAGTTTCAATGGAGTGATTCAAGAAATGGTTCATTGATTAATGATTTTATGATTGAATTTATGAACTGATCTGTTCAACAGTTGAATGTGAATCATTCAAGTTAATCTAAACATTCAGGTTTACTTGAGCGAATTGGTTCATTCATTCAGTTTGCTTCAATAGGCTGGTTTAAAAAGTAGGTCACTTATTTATTTTGCGTCATAACTACATAATTCATGTGATTTCAAAGAATGACTCATTTCTAAATTGATTCGTTTAACAATTGAGTGTGAATAGTTCAAGTGAATCTGAATCATTCGGATTTATTTGAGCAAATTAGTTCACTCAGCATGCTTCAATGTACTGATTAAAAAACAGTTCATTGATTAATTTCAAGACATTGCTAAATATTTCAATTGATCTGGAAAATGTTTCAGTTACAAACTACTTTGTTCAACAGTCGAGTGTGAATTGTTCAAACGAATCTCAGCCCATCAGATTTGTTTGAGCAAATCAGTTCACTCAAGACAGTGTGTTTCAGTGAACTGGTCGATTTGTTTTACAGAAGATTCATTTGCAAACTGAATCATTTAAATACCTGATCCACACCTTATATGGTTACTTAAAACGAATCGTTACGATGAAGAAACACTGCTAAATCAAAGCGTAACCTACAAACATCAAAATTACAGTTCAAAACACGACGCTTAACAAATTAAGGCTAATTAGATTATATGAATAGAGTGTCATTATTAATAATAAGTAAGGATCGCGAGGGCCGTGAATGGCATTTTGAATGTAGACTTTCAGGAGCCGCCTGAGTCAAACTACACCATGACAACCTGCCATTTAGTTTAATTACCGCTAATGTTTAATTACTGGCTAATGGCTAAAACAAGTAGGGTAAAGGCAAAGTGGTGAGATGGAATGAGACTGGATGAAGGAATTCTGCACTGGAGCGTCTCTAAAGGCCAGACACATGAGAAGAGCGAGGTGTAAATGTGCAGACGTAGGTGGCTTGGCAGTGGCAGGCTGGTCATACAGCAGTCAGATGGAGGGACACGGGGAACCTCATCCGTTCCCTGTGTAAGCAGAGCAGCCCAATGCTCCTTTAGATATGGCAAGTGTGCGGAGGGACCCGGCTATTTATAGACACGGAAAGAAATGTGATCCTAAGAGTTTTTGAACACTCTGTTCTGTCTGCAGTCTGACTGAATTTGGGGGTCTGCAGCTCTATCTGCTGGTTATAATGGGGAATGCATATGATTATACAAGTAGTTCTTAATAGATACTTAGAAATTTCAATAAAACAATTTATCCTAATGCAATAAAAAAATAACACAAAAATAAAACAAACTAAAAATAAAATAAGACAAATGAAAATAAAATAATGGCTCTCAATAGATATCATTTTTCAATAAAAGATATACAAGAAAATAAATATAAGATAAAACATGTAAAATAAAATAAGATGTAAAAATAAAATAAAGATAAAATGAGATATAAAATAAAGATACCAATTTTCAAAAAAAGACAAGAAAATAAAGATAAAACAAGATACAATATGTAAAGTAAAAATAAAGATAAAATAAGATGTAAAATAAAGATAACAATTTTCAAAAAAAGACAAATATGAAAATAAAGATTAAAATAAGATGTAAAATAAAATAAAGATATAAGGTTGTAAAATAAAATAAAGATATAAAAATAAAATAAGATATAAAAAACATACCAACTTTTTAAAAAATATGAATAAAATAAATATTAAATAAGATATAAAACTTAAATTAGATAAAGTAATATATACAAATTAAATCAAGATAGAATAAAATAAGATGCAATAAGACATAAATTACAGTAAGATATAAAATAAAAATAAGACCTAAAGATAAAATAAGATAAAAATTAAATAAAGAAATAAAATAAAAAACAATATATAAAACAAATACAACAAAATAATTTGAAAATAAAAGATATAAAATACAATTGAGTTAAAATTAAAATAAGACAAAATGATAAAAAATAAATGAAAATCTAAAGATACCAATTTTCAATAAAAGATTAGTAAAATAAGATAAAATAAAATATAGATAAATTTATAAAATAAAATTGATATAGAATAAATAAAATACAATATAAAATAGAATAGTAGTTCTCAACAGATTCCAAATTGCAATAAAACAATACAAAAAAAAAAAAAAAACTGAAATAAAATTTAAATAAATAAAATAAGACAAAATAAAGTTATCAACAGATGCCATTTTTTAATAAAACACAATGCATTATAATATATTGAATTCAAAATAAAATAAAGAGATAAAACAAAGATCAAATTAAGAAGATATAACAAATATACATTTTTAAAATATAAAACAAAACAAAACATTGCTCATCAGTGATAGAGTTAATAAAATTTGTTCTGTTCAATTGTCACTTGTGTTACCTTATTACTTGGCTCCAACTTCAAGGCCCTTTTCAGTGATTTAATGGCTTCGGCATACTCGCCCTGCAGAGCCAGTACCTGTGGACACAAACACATGGCACAGCTCAGCACCTTTTCATCTCAACACACTTCTAGCTGTTCGGCGGAACCAAACGACCGAACAACCCGCTTTCGCTGTGTCCCAAACCAGGAGTGCATTACTATTTAATGAGAGCGAGTGAAAACGATACGCATCTGAACCCAGGAAACCAACCTTGCCTTTGCGGAACAGGGCTTTGACATTGTCCGGCTGGTGCGCCAGGACGGAGACGCAGGAGCGCAGCGCGGCTTCATAGTGGTCAAGCTTGAGTTGAGCAGCGGCCATGTTGTTGAGACATTTCACCTCCATGTCCAAAAGTTCTTCCTCTTCTTGTTGACTGATGTCCACTAAGATAAAAGAGTAATATGTGACCCTGGACCACAAAACCAGTCATAAGGGTCAATTTTTTTGAAATTGAGATTTATACATCATCTGAAAGCTGAATAAATAAGCTGATGGATGGTTGGTTAGGATAGGACAAAATTTGGCCGAGATACAACTATTTGAAAATCTGGAATCTGAGGGTGCAAAAAAATCTAAATATTGAGAAAATCGCCTTTAAAGTTGTCCAAATGAAGTTCTTAGCAATGCATATTACTAAATAAAAAAATTAAGTTTTGATATATTTACGGTAAGAAACTTACAAAATATCTTCATGGAACATGATCTTTACTTAATATCCTAATGATTTTTGGCATAAAAGAAAAATCGATAATTTTGACCCATACAATGTATTTTTGGCTATTGCTACCCCAGCGACTTAAGACTGGTTTTGTGCTCCAGGGTCACATATGATTGCAGACAAAACCATAAAATGATTTATTAGGAAATTAACTAAATGAATCATGAATGAAGCAGTATCACCTCTGGAAGTTGCTTCGGTTATCTGTAGCGCGATTCCGTACGAGTTGACGGCAAAGGCGTAGTCGGCGCGCTGGAAGTGGACGTTTCCTCGCTCTCGCTTTCTGTTGGCCAAACTGATTCGCTCAGAGGGCGGCATGAGCTCCAGGTCTGGGGCGTCATCTGCCGACAACAGCTGCACCTCCAGGATGAGATCAGAATCAGGAGGCGCAGCAGGAGTAGAGCTGACAGAGGAGATGAACGGGGTTAAGAGTCAAGCAGAGGATGTCTAACACGTCAAAGTATTTCTGCTGTGTCACACTGCTGTTCAAAAGTTAGGAGTCATACAATGTTTTTGAAAGACGTCTCTTATGCTCACCATGGCTGCATTTATTAGATCAAAAATACAGTAAAAACAGTAATGGTGTGAAACATTATTACTTTTCTATAAGAATATAATTTCAAATGTAATTTGTTCCTGTGATGCAAAGCTGGATTTTCAGTCTTCAGTGTCACATGATCCTTCAGAAATCATTCTAATATGCTGATTTGCTGCTCAAGAAACATTTCTTATTATTATCAATGTTGAACACAGCTGTGCTGCTTTATATTTTTGCGGAAACCGTATTTCAAATATTTTTTTCAGGATTCTTTGATGAATAGAAAGGGGGAAAAAAGGAAAAAATTACAGAATTATAATTTTTTTCTAACATTCTGAATGTTGTCTTTACTGTCAATTTTGATCAAATTAATCTGTCATTGCTGAATAGAAGTATTCATTTCTTTAAAAAAAAAAAAAGAATATTTTTTTTATCATATATGTAATGTAATTATATACAATTATGGTACTGAATATATAAACGGTATTTATTTTATTATATAAATATAAAGCATTAATTACAAACATATATTAATATGCATTATAAAAATTAATATGCAATAAAAAAATTATTTTCTAAAAACTATAAGTATTCAATATAAATATTAACAAACCACCCAACTTCATTTACTATACAATAAAAAAAAAAGAAAACAAATGTGTATATATATATATATATATATATACCACCAAATATGGTCTCTGGAGACACA